CAATTAGCTGAGGGTCCTCAGCTGTCCCCTTCTCTGCTAGTCAGCACTGCAGGTAGGTGTGCCTGCAACAGAGGCCAAGGATCACAGGTTGCTAACAATGGGAGGAACCTTTTGTGGCCATCTGTGTTCTGAGGTCAATGCTTTTTTATTTTTTGAATGTTTGATCTCTTTAGATTTCAACCAGAGGAAAAGCAATAAAAGGAAGAGGAAGTTGCTTGTGGATGCAGACAAGCAGCTCAGCTGCCATGCTATATACCACCAGCTTAACAACAGCCTGGGCACCCTTGTTGCATTAGACCTCGCACCTCCAACTAAACAAACAATGATGTGGAAAGAATCAGGAGGAGTGGAAACGCTCCTGTCCCAGCCTGCACAGCTTTTGTTTCATGCTGAGCTGCAAATGGTAAAGGTTTCTTCCTTGTTGGTTTGTGTGCCTGTGTGTAGGTGATGGGACTGTTGCACATCCAGGATGGAACTGCCAGGGGTTTGCACAGCATTGCTGGAAGTATTGTGTCACAGCTCCGTTCCATTGGACACCTAATGATTATTTGCATGCTCATCACTAATTGCTTCAGCAGAAAGACCATCTGTGCAGCTCCTGGCTTCAATCTCCAGTGCTCCAGCAAGTTAAAAATGATCAGGACAGCTTGCCTTTCAGGTGCTCCACAGGTTCTGGTCGCTGTGTCCCATGGGTGAGCAGGGCAGAGCAGAACACCCCTTGCATGCTTGTAGACCTTAATGCTCTTTTTGTGCAAGGGAGAGAGATTTGCTCCATGGAAATGCATGTGTCAAATCCTTCCATGCCCTGTGTGCTATCTGACAGGTCTTTTGAAGAAGTTGCACGTTTAGGAATGATGATAAAACAAAGAAAGCTCGACCTGTGTGCAAGGAGGTGGAGAAAGGTGCAGTGCTGGCCTGGTGCTAATTGCACTGCGTTCTCTCTGTTGGATCTGCAGGCAAACAGCTCAGCAGGTTCCATGGGGCAGAACAGCTTCACCTCTTGGAGTCCAGATGCACAATTAGAGCTCGTTCCTTAGCTGTTCCTATGACATTTCTTCATAGAATTTGCTGCCAAAGGGCCATTCCTTTTTTAAAGGTGCAGATTTGAAATGACCCAATGCAAATCTCTAAATTCTGGGGTGATGATTAACGTGCATCTCATCTTCATACCTCTGCTTTGATGCTTGCAAATAATGTAACACTGTATTCTGACAGTAAACAAATAAAAAATAATTGCTTTCAGTTCTTTGCAAAATGCTTCAAGAGAGGTAGATTTGAAATGAGAAGAAATGTAACACAGATGGAGATAGAAGAAGCAAAGGAGGAGCAAGATGCCCCAGGTAATGTTTTAATTCTGCCACAGCAGAATTACTGTTAGCAAATGCTCTCTATTTTATGTGATGTTTCAGATGTGCACAGCGTGCAGCATTCTACAAATCAAAGGTCAAAACGTTTCAACCATCAACAAAACTGGCTGTTTTAATTACAAAAATACTTGTTTGGCTTTTTTAAGGGCAGGTGAGCAGTGGCTTCATCTTGAGCCTTGTGTTTCTTTGTCAATACAGAGGTGCTGATAACAGATGAGTCGAGTTACCTGCAGGAGTTGGACTGCTCAGAGGCTGAGGGAAAAACTGGCAATGATTTGTTTGCCCTGGCAGCATGGAATAGCAGCAATGGAACTGTGAATGGCTTTGGTGAAACCCTGGTGAGTGGTTTCCTTCTGTTCTGCAGACCCAGGTGTACTTCCTGGCTCCATTTTGTGCTGGGGTTCCTTTTCAGACAGGTGAAGAAATTGTTAACGTAGGTTTGCAAAGCCTCTCACTTCAGGAAAGTTTATTTAGGAGCATTTTGGCAGGCTCTCACAACGAGGGAGCTGCCTGTTAAAATGTCTGTTAATTGGTATATATTACAGTGTGATCACTAAGTATGGCTGGAACCTGGATATCAACCATAGCCTGTTTGTAAAGAAAAGATGCTTTTTCATTTCTAAAGATGGTGATGCTTATCTTTGGTGTCAAAAGTTGAGAAAAGGCTCGAGCAATAACAAATTATGTAGTTCTGCCATCTTTAATGTGAAAGGGGGGACTTAGGAGTATAGGAAGTCCTTGAAGTTGACAGAGAATGACAAAACTGGACTTGATGGCAGGAGAACATTCAAGGCTTGTGCCTAAACGAGGGTAGATCCCACGTGAGAAGAGGTGTGGTAGAAACAGCAGCTGTTAAACTGTTCTGGAAAGTATCTGTAACAGTGAACTGAGCAGAATTGTTGTCACACAGCACAGTAATGCCTAAATTGCAGCACCACTTGATGCACCTCCCTGTTCTGACAGCAGGATGAAGCTGCTTTCTCTGAGAGCTCCGTGCTGGTGGATAATTCAACGGGCCGAGAAGCTCCAGTGCAGCAAGCTGAGATAACACACGTGTGTATGCTTACAGCTGGCAGTTCTCACACTGCAGAACAGCATCATTTCACAGGAATATTTCTTAAAAATAGTTACAATTCCATGAATTTACAGCGGGTTTTGGTGTGCTACCAATTTTTGACACGTTTCTCTTCTAACTTTCCGTTGTATTTCCCATCAAGGAGCGAGAAGTGGAAAATAAAGACAACGAAGAGGTTCAGTGGAGCAAAAGAACTCTTCAGGTGTTAAAAACCTTACAGGTAAAAGTGCTGGATTTTGAAATTAGAAGCCCAAACCAGGTATTGATTTCTATTGGGCCGTTTCAGAAAACCTCCTGCTTTCACTGCGTAGCATCACTGTGTCATATGCAGAGTGTAACTGCATTCTGTGGGGTGTTGGTGGAGGAAGCCAGGATTCTCAGTGCCTGACATCATGTTCACTCTCCTACAGCTGCTGGAATTGCTGTGGAATTGGATTGGAAATGCTCTGCACTTTTGTTTGCAGTGCTTGCTGTAGCACTGATATTTTGTTCTCTCCAGCATCCCCACAAAGCCCAACTTCCAAGCACCTGCAGGCTTGCAGGATCTCTGCCATGCATCGCAGGGTGCCTTCATTTGACTGCTCAGCTGCTGGAGCTCTTCCTGAGATGAAGGCTATGGAAAAGCGTGGGGGTTGTGCTGCAGGTGGTCACCCCTTCTCTAAAAGGTTTTAATGCCCCAGAGCTTTCAAGATGCTTCAACACGAGCAAGGCAGGCAGGGCTTATCCTGCCTTCCTTGCAGAAGGAACTTTGGGGCTGGTGAAGCTGTGTGATGCCACATGCTGTGCTCCCACCAGCAGGAACGTGGCAGGCAGCCTGGGCTGTCCCAGCACTCAGTGCCCAAGCCCTCACTGGGTCTCCTCGTTGCTGAGCTTCTGCCAAAGCAAAACTCACCAAACCCTGCTCCCAAGCCTGGCTTTTCCCCACTGCCTGAGTTTGGCTCCGCAGCCTTCTTGGTTGTTTAATGATGTGAACATCTTTAAAAGGTTCTGTGCAACACCTGTAAAGAACTCCGTATGTATATGTGCAGCCATTAAAAACCAAGCAACAATAGGGATGAGTTAGCTGGAACTGGAATTGCCTGTGGTGTGGCTGGTGTTCTGCATCCCAAGGACAGGGCATGCAGTGACTTTGATTGCTTTGCATCACGAAAACCATTACAGGTAGGCTTCCTCCTGGGCTCCAGTGCTGTTTCACTGAGTTCAGTGGAGCTGTGGGCATGTGTAGATGTTAGTAACGTACGTAGGTGCCAGCAGTACTACAGCAATCAAATGTGAAGAGCCACTGTGTGAGTGTAAATGCCTGCTAAGGTCCTGTTCAAGGCCTCCAGGCAGGAAATAGTGGTTCTGAGCAGCACTGTTCAATCCAGACTTACTGAGCTCTGCTTTTCCATGACTTGACTGCTTCTCTTTTTCTCTCCTGCAGCACCTGAACAAATCTGGAGTGAATTCCTTCAGCTTCCGGGAGCTCTGTCAGAAGAACGACCGGAAAGAAGTGGCAGTGAAGTTTTACATCTTCCTTGTCCTGCAGAAGCAGATGGTCGTTGAGTTGGTTCAGCGCGCTCCCTTTGCAGACATCACAGCCGCCGCCGGCCGAATGTTCAGCGCTCACTGAAATCCCACTGCAGCCAGATAAGCTCAGCCAAACGCCGTTCTGTTCTCTTTTCCCTGCACAGAAATGGGACTCTCATCAAACCACGGCGGACTGAGCAGAGTTCTTTCATCCCTGCTCCCTCTCAGAACCGCGCGGCCGCCGATTGGTGCCGCTGTGTGGCTGCGGCGTTGCTGAGCAAGCTGTTTGCTGCTGTGGTCAGTTTCAATGTAGGTGTGTTTATAAAAAGCTGTTACTCACCCTGTTGATAACAGGCAGCTAAAATACATGCTCCCCCTCAGACATTTGCAGCATGAGGGGCTTGGTGAAAGCTCTTCTTTCTTAGAGTCCAGTGTTGGAAATTAGGTTGTTTTCAGCTTGTGTGTTAATTAGGTATTGTGGTCAGAGAAGGGAATTCCTTTAAGCTGTCTTTGAATTTATTCAAAATTATTTATTTCAAAGAATGTTCAATACTTGTCCTGTTAAGCTCTAACAAGCAACTGCCTGCAGCGCTGCTGTTGTGTGTTGAGATGGAAACTTCTGCTGTCCTTGAGGTCAGGAGGAAATCTGCCTTCCAGGAGCCCCAGCACTGTTCCATTTCGTGGGGCATTTATACAAAGACTAACAGCTCCCCTTATGCATAGGCCAACATAAAAACGGCTGTTAGAAACGTTAGTGATCCTTTGTACATTTATCTGATTTATTTAAGGCCTCTACTGCCATTCTGTTGGTAATTTCCACGTGCTGAAAGCGTGGCTGTGTGCATTTGGTGCTCCAGGACATCCCAGTGCTCTGGGTGTGCTGACACCTCTTTCTATGGAATCAATAAAAGTCTGACCAAGATGTTTGCTGTGTATTTGTTCTGAAGGATCAAAACTGGTGCCGCCTCACTTCGGTCCGGCCTCATCTTGGTGTTTGCTGTGATCTTTACATGTATGAGGGTGGATGATGCTGTCATCCTGACTCTCCAGGCCTTCGTGTTGGTTACACCCAGCCTTGCTAATGTGGTGCTCGACACCACGAGGGGTCAGGAGGTAAACAGCACAGAGGACAGGCTTGGGAGACGAGGAGAAGCCGTTCCTTCCCCCGAAGGCACTTGAAATGAATGTGTGTTGCAGCAGAGCTGCTGCCTGCACCACGTCTGCCGCTGCCATACCAGGGAGAGGAGCTCTGGCAGCAGCTGACACGAGGACAATTTGCTCTTTCAGAGAGGGAGGCTTCTGTTGGCTTCACCAGGAACTGGAGACACAAAAGGAGGCTGGAGGAGAGCAGAAGACAAGCGGGAATAAACCAGAGGCAGGTTGGCAGGATATGCATACATTGAAAGCAGTCTGTGTGGCAGAGTAAATGAGGTGCAAACCTTGCTGTAAATAGCAGAGGAAGAAAGACGAGCATATCTACAAAACAGGTTTGTCAGAATTCCAAAATAACCGGCTGGGGAGTCACACACGGAGCTGCAGAGGAAGCCCAGCATGCTGGCACTGCTTTTACATGTGCTTGGGCTGAAACGTGGGCTTGGTTTTCCTTCTCGGTCAGGTGTGCTCTGAGGTTGGGCTGTGATTTGGATCCAGGAACACGTCCTGCTCTGACCTCGCCAGCACACGAACCGTTTCCTCCCTTAAATCCATATGCATGTAGGATCCAACGCACGCAGCTGTCAGGTCGGTTCCTGCACTGCAACCTCCCTGCGCTGCCCAGGGCTCAGCGGAACGGAGCTGCAGCACCGGGCTGCCCCCACCGGCGGGCTGCAGCGATCGATGCGAGCCCTGCTGGGGAGGGCAGAGCTCAGCCTCCCACCCCAGGTGCAGCTCCTTCCATCGTTAGGTTCAGCCGGCTGCGAATGGAAGTGTGCGGGCAGCACCGTGAGTAACCGCGGAACGGAATTCACGTTTCCCGTTGCACTGACAGCACCTGCCCGGCCCCCAGCCCGGCTCGCCCCGCTGCCGCAGCCCCGCTCTGCTGATCCTCCGCTCCAGCTGCCATGAATCGAAGCTTTTTTGCTATACGGACGTGCGCCGTTAGCGGGGCTGGGGGGGAGCACGGCGGGTGCGGAGGGGTCTGGAAGCCCGACTTTTTATTTTTCCTGCTTTTTTGGGGGGAGTTACCATAGAAACCAGGGAAACCCCGCGGGGGGGCACCCGGGCTGCCGTCGCTTTAAGAGCGCAGAGGAGCGAGAGGCAAATTACGCAGCTGCGACGCTCATCCCTCCCTCCCTCTCTCCTGCCTCCATCCCTCCCTGCCGGCTCCATCCCTCCCTCCCTCCCTCCCTCCGCCGCCGCACCCATGGAGGCCGGCGCAGGTGATGGAGGCCGCGGGGTGGTGGTGGGGGTCCCGGCTCTGCTCCGTGCTCCCCCCCCGCTTACCGCCCGCTCTCTCCTTTCCCCTCCAGGTCGCTGAGCCCGGCGCTGCCGCCCCCGAGAGCCGCGGGCCCCGCGCAGGTGAGCAGGGAGGGGGCACCGGGGGTCCGATCTGGGGGGTTGGAAGACGGGGGGGAGCTGCGTGTGCCTGGGGGGTCGAAGGGCAGAGAGGGGGTGCTCGGGGAGGGCAGAGCACCAGGCCTGCAGCACAGCCCATGGCACACACCGGACACACGTCATGCGTGCTCCAGCCCTGCACTGCGTGCAGCAGCCCCGCATTGCACACGCCTGCACTGTGCCCACAGAGCAGCAACGCAGGCACTGATGCCCTATTGCGTGCACTGGGTCCCTGCAGTGGGAATCGCATGAATTGTGGTCGCTGGCCTTGCAGTGCACCCCCACCCCATGTAGCAGACCCACCTCGATGCATTGTACCCATATGGCATGCACCAGAACCCCACTGCATGCACCAAACCCACCCTCCATGCGCCAAAACCCCATCAGCCCCATCCTCCGTGCTCCAACCCCACACCACATGCACTGGACACACCCTCCTTGCATGCCCCAAACCCTCCTTGCATGCTCCAAACCCTCCTTGCATGCCCCAGACCCACACCTGCTCCATGCAGAGCCCAGTTGTGCCTCCCAGCACTATGGGGCACTGCAGGAGCTGGAGCTGCTGTGCGATTGAGATTTGATTACTTAATGGCTTAAAGCTCCATCTCCAAAGGGATAGAAAGCACATGAGCAGATTGATGAGCTGTGCGCTCCTTTCCTCTTCTCCCTGCAAGGTCAGTGCTGCCTGCTTGTCACATCCAAACCCGCTGCCATGCATTGGGTGTGCCTGTAAAACAGCAGTGCTCCCACTTTGCTCTGGGTAACGCATGGGCTGTGTTGTGACCTTGTGCAGGAAAGCAAAGATGACATCTGCAGGGCTTTGGGGTCTCTGCTTGGGGTCAGGAAAGGCGATGCTTGCAGATGTGTGCCCACAGTGGGGAGCGTCGCAGCAGGTCAAGACAGGAGATGTGGGATGGTGCAGCAGCACAGGGACCCTATTTGGGGTGGGTGGGGGTGAGGGCAGCCCTACCACTGCCACGCTGCGGCTGCGTGTGTGCTGGGAGGGAGGGGTGGCTGTTATGCTGGAGGATGAATCCATCGTCTGCATCTCTGCCTTCCTGCCCTGAAAGAGAGCTTTCCTCTCCCTTCCGTGTGGCTGCACAGGGTGGTGGGAGCACTGGGCACCCCCAGCTGTGACCATCAGGTCTGGGTCGCAGTGCTGCTCTTGCTGTGACTGCCGCAGGGTTTGTCACGATGCTCTCCTCGGGGGAGGGATGAGCTGCAGAGCGTGGCATCCAATGGTCTCTATTTTCCTGCAAACTCCGGGTGTCAGCTCAGTGTTTTGTTACAAAACAAGGGAGAATGAAAGGAAAAAACCCTGTGTGAGAGAACAGCTCGGAGCAGGATTGATTTTTCTGGTGGTGCTGAGTAAACGCTCTGCGCGTTGTGTCTCTGCTCATGCCCCGAGTGCTCTGCTCTGATGTGACCTCAAGCAGTGTTTGTCTGTCTGTCTGCAGACTGAGGCTGTGCGTCCATCCACCTCTGCCTTGGCCCCACATCCATCCAGCTACATCCCAGTCCCTTCCATCCCTGCCCTGATCCTGGCACTGTTGCTGTTTTCTGGGCCGCAGCGTTCCATCCCAAATCGAGTCTGTGGCTGTTTGCTGTTGTTTTGCACTTCCTTTATTTTTAGCGTGAAGGGAAAGCGAAGTCGGCACAAAAAAAAAAAAGGCAGTGAGGGCTCCTCCAAGGCGGGTTTGTGCCTTGTGGAAGTGGAGCTGTGATCTGTCGCCCCTTTTTGTTCTCTGCATTCGTTGAGGATGTCCGTGGGGGGCTGACGTAGCCCTGGGGGTCACTCTGGGCCAGTGCTGGGGCTCCTCGGGGCCACCGTGGCACAGCGGTGCCAGCTGCATTCCTATGCAGAACATGGCAAAGGAAATGAGGAGGTGTGGGATTTAGGTGGCTTTGAATGGGGTCTGGTGAGGTGTGCCAGCCCCAGAGCATCCCATTGCTGGAACACTGAGGGGCTGGTGCTGCTCATGGGATGGATCCAGCTGTGGTCCAGCCCCATGTGGGGTCACATCTGCTGCTGTTTGGGGCTGTGTGTGACACGTGGCAGAGGCACCACGTGGAGGTACACCTGGTGGCTGTCCCAGATAGCCAGGAGCAGCTGTGGGAATGGGAATGGCAATTGGGCTGGGGGCATCCCAGAGCATCCCGTGGGGTTTGGGACTGGGCAGCCATGGGAACCCCAACAAAAGAGGCAGCGGATGGGGAAGGCAGCACAGAGGCAGGAGGCTGCTGCAGCAGCCGGGTTAGTGAGGAGCCTGTCTGCTTCTGTGTGCTCCATGAGAGGGCAGGATGAGCTGGTGGGGCAGGGCATGGCCGGTCCTGCGGGAATGGGGAAAGTGGGGTATCTGAGGAATGTGCAGAAGCAAAACCCCTGGGGGAAGGAGCTGAGGGTCTTCAGAGGTGTTGGTCAGCAGGGTCCATTGCCTAAAGAGCAATGACAGTCCAGCCCGAATGGTGTCCATCCCTGGCACAGCCTGGAGGAGCCGCGCTGTTCCATCTTGATGTGTTTCCCTGCGAAGCACCGGCTCCAGAACCAAGGCTGAGCGCTCACCTTGATGGGGAGAAGCCCTTCCCTGCAGCACGGGGCTGAGCTCTGGGTGCTCCGCCCGCCCTCCTCGCTTCGCTCCGTTCCATTGCGTGGTCCCCGGGGGGAGCTGTGCCTGGCACTGTGCTGCCCGTGCACCGTCAGCACGGAGCGCAGCGCTGCCCGCTGCTGAGCGCAGCAGATACAGAGCGCTACCAGAGCAATGATGGCTGAAAGCACTGGGTGAGGATGGAGGGTTGGTGGGGGTCGCGGGGTGCTGTGTCCTAGGAGCAGGGTCGTGCTGGGAGCTCCGTGGGGGATTTTGCTGTTGGTTGGTGTGAGGAGACAGCACTGGAGCTTGCGATGGGCAGCTCCATCCCGCCGTTCCCCGAGGCTGGGTTTGGCACTGGTACAGCTCTGGTTCCTCTGGACACTAGCGCTCCCCAAACCCCCCAGCATCGCTCCTTGGTGCCTTTCCTCCCATCCCTCATCTTGCAGGAAAAGATGAAAGCAAAGCAGAGGAAATCAGCACCCAATTGGGGTCATGGCAGAGGATGGATCCTGCAGGAGCCGCTCGGGTGCTCCAGATCTGATTCCCCTCTTGCTGCCCTGGCTCCTGACGTCCATTTTTAAGGTTCTTGGTGTTTTGTTGCTGTGCCATACTCAGCTTGGGTTGCCTCCCACCCAATATTTTTATGGGATTTCTTCTTCCTGCCCATCCTTGCAGCTTTGCTTTGACCCCTTGCAGAAGCCATGTTTATTGGGTATTTTCTGCTGTTCCAGTGACCTGCTGCTGATTCCTCCTCAGCTCTCCCCATGCCTGCCATTGTCTTCCTGGCTGGAGAGCACACGGCGTGCTCGGGGACCCTCTCATTTATCTTTGGACACTTTCCATTTCCTCTCTGTGTGTTTTTCCTAATGCCTAATGGATGAGCAGCCGGAGCCGCTGCTGTGGGCTGCATGCCATGCTGGGCAGCTCCCACCCAGGCTGCAGCTCAGCATTTCAGCTCAGGCCAGGCTGTGGGTCCCACCAGCACTGTGACACCTCCATCCCTTTGCCATTTCCATCCCGAATCCCTGTTGGGTTCTGCAGCAGAGCTGCCGGCAGGCACTGAGCATGCAGAAAGCAGAGAGCTGTGCTGCGTTTCCCTCTGTTGCGTTTCAGATGTGATCAGATCACCTCCCCTTTCCTTCATGGTGAGGTTCTGTAGCTGCTCATCTGGGTTCACATGACGGCGTTAATTGCGAGTGCAAATAAGCAATTACCTCCTCCCTCGGAGGCAAAGTGTGCAGCGTGCGTGGGAAGGATGTGCAGATCTGTCTGTCTGTCTGTCTGTCTGCCAGACCTGTCCGTCCTGGCAGCCCGTGGGCACGGTGTGGCTTTTGGGGAGATGGAAGCAGCCTATGGATTTCCTGAGAACAAAGAGAGCACTGCTTTATTGCCAGCAATGAGAACCAAGGCGGTGTGGCGCAGGAGGGCACCCAGCAGCCTGAGCAGGGAGAACGTGCACTGGGTTTGTGTGCACCCGAGGGCTCCCTCCTGAGCTGAGCTTTGCTGTGTGCCCACGGGGAAGGGGAAAGGCAGGAATGGGAACTGGAGCTGGCAATGGGAAGAGCAGGATGCAGGCGGGCGCTGCGGGGCAGGCACGGATGCCATGCAGCACTCGGGGTGGTGAGAGGGCGAGGAGTTCACCTCTGTGGCTGCAAATCCCGCAAAGCTCGGCCCGAAGGCAGCACGGTGGCGATGCACGGGGCCGGGCTGTGCTGCGGCACGCGCTGCCGGGGGCCGGGCTCTGCTGGATGCTGATTCATGCTGCTGCATTTGCAAAGCCCCGCGGCCGCGGGCAGCTGATCCGGGAGCTCTGATCCTGCAGCACAGAGCACCGCTGTCCCTTCCAAGGGCTTTCCCCCATCCCTGTGACCCCCGAGCCCAGGGACTGGAACCTTCTGTGTAGGGCATAGGGCTGCTCCGGTTCATTCTGTCTCGTTGGTGCCCTGTGCTGGAATACAGGCAGGTGTGAAACCAGGAGAAAGGAGAGCACTCTGAGCATTGGATGGAAGTTACCCTTGGGGGAGACAATCTGAGATTTCCAACACAAAAGGCTCCATCAGGCGTGGGCCGGCAGCGTTCCCTCCTCCCCTCTCGGCCCACTTCTCTCCCTGCCCTGGCCCGCAGCCCAGGCAGCACTCAGCAGTCCCAACCCATCGATTATCAGAGGGCCCATTGCTGGAGCTGCTCTGGGCTGGAGCTGCCGAGATCTGGGACAGATGCAGTTGGAATGTACCAGGATGGGGGGTGGAAGGGGGGGTGAAGGCGTGCAGTGCCCAGCTGTTCCCAGCCCGCTGTGAATGCCATAGGGCAGCAGCAGCACTGCTCAGTGCCGTGGATGTGCAGAACTGATGCTCTCTGTAGTGATCCTCCTCTGCAGCAGTTCCCATCCCCACGTGGGCCCAGAGCTGCTGCCTGCTGGAGCTGCAGACCTCGGGATCTGCCCTATTTATTTTCAGGCAGATGGGATCTGTGCTTCTCATGGGATTAGCAGCTGCTGCTGCTGCCGCATCACGCAGGGATCTGTGCTTCCTCACCTGATGTCACTGATGAATGGGCAATTCGGGTTTAATTAATGAAGTATGGAGCAGGATGCAGTGAGGGGGCAGGAATGGGTGTTTCTGCCTTAGTAATGTACGTGCAGGTGTTGGTTGTGCTTTGCCTTATGAAGGGAGGAAAGACTCAACTCTGGGCACAGCACTGTGATGCTGCTGGGCCATGGGATCACGGCGCAGTGCCATAAAGGCAACCCAAGGACTGCATCGACACCTCACACAGCTGATGGTGGGCTCTGTCCCGGCTGGATTTCCCCTTTTGACCTCCTCTCTCTGTTGCTTTTCCTCTGCAGTTCCCCTGTGCCCAGGACCCGCGGCACCACAGCCATGTCTCTGCCGGGGAGCAGACGCTCATCCACCGGATCACGAAGGTGAATACGCACAGGGAGCAGCAGCGGTGACCAGCCAGGGCCACAGCAGGGCAGGGAGCAGCCCAGGGATGCAGCTTTGAGGATTCGGGGCGTTGCATGTCGCTGGATGCTGCCCACAGCTCCCCGACCCCGCATGGAGCACCCCCAGCACAGCACCCGTCCGTCTCTGTATGTGTCTGCCGCACTCGGCACCAATCTTGCAGTCCTGGGGTCCACTCCATGTTGCCAGGATCTGTTCCTTCGCCCCAGGATCCACTCCTGGTCCCGTCCACCGAAGGTGGTGTTGGTGGATGTCCCCTTCTCTCCCCCCCCCCCCACAGTCCTAGGATTGGCAGCAATGCTGGGAGGGGAATTGGCTCTTGGAAGGGCTCTCTTGAGCTGTAGCAATAGCAAACAATAGGGAAAAAGAGAGGGAAGAAGCATTTATTCCCCTCTGAGTGTCTCCATACCCTGGGCTGCACTTTTTTACTTCCTGACCGCAGCCATCACCAGCAGAGAAGGGGCAGAGATGCCCATGTGTGGGTGCTGTCCACCCCAGCCCACTTCCAGGACCCTCTCCTAGGGGCTCCCGGTCCCTGGGCACGGGGATGCCATGCGGGTACCCATGGGATGGAGCGGGTGGGTTTGGGCTCCCCTACCCCCACCTTCACACCCATCTCCGTGCCATTTTGATCCCTGCTGTTTGTTCTGTCCTTTTGTCTTGTGTGTTCTCGGTGCGGTGGTTGGCAGTCGCGGGCTTTATGGACGGAGTGGTTTTGCCTCCTTCTTTAAGTCGTCAGCGCCCTCAGCCACTCGGCCTGAGACACAGCCTCTTCTCCCTGCCTCCAGGCGCCCCTCGCCCCCCGGGAGGGACACCTACGGCACCTCCTCGCTGAGCAGCAGCAGCAATTCTGGCTCCTACAAGGGCAGCGACAGCAGCCCCACCCCAAGGTAACCCCTCGCCCGCAGCCCCGTGGGCACTGTCCCCATCTGGGGGTTCCCCGGGCAGGGGGAGCAGTGCCGGCCCCGGTGCCCACAGTGCCCACGTGCCATGGGGCAGGAGCACAGGGGCTGCAGGAGGAGGCCGTGCTGCTGTGCTCGGAGCTGCCGGAGGGGCTGCTGAGCCCCCGCCATCCCCACAGCTCCTCTGCTGCTGTCATTATGTCTTCTCCCCATTGTCACCCTCCTGCCAGCTCCGTGCTCATCCCTCCTGTCCTGCCCTGGCTGTGGTTTGTGCGCTGCATGCGTTCCTCCCTCTGTTCGCTGCTCCCCAGGAACGCTGCCTTTGGGGCAGAAGGTGCAGCAGAACTGTATTTGGGGCTGCTCACACGTTTCTCTGGGCGGTGAGGCTCCTCCCTTAGCCCTTGGTTGGGACTGACCCCACCAACTGCGTTCCAGCTCTGGAGGTGGCTTTGCATCTGGAAGGAAATGAAGGGATCAGCCAGCAAACAGAGCAGGGATGGGGTAGGATGACCACCATCCTACCTGGCTTCTCCCAACACATTGCTTCTCTCTGCTCAGAACTATGGATCTGCCTGCATGATGCCTGGCAGCTTTGAGCTGTGCCACGGCAGTGCACGGGGACTTTGCTCTGCTGCAATGCACAGGGGGTTCGGAGCACCCCACTGTGATGTGTGGGGTCTCAGTGCAGCCTGCTGCAAGACACAAGCATCTGGAGCTGTGCATAGCTCTGTGCCTGCTCCCTAGCTGAGCATGCAGCCATAGAGCAGCAGCCTTTCTCCTCCCCTCTCCCCAAGCATCTCCACCCCATGCTTGCTGAGCTGCACCGGGCTGATGCCCAAAGACATCCATCAATCTCAGCTGTGCTGGTGGCAACACAGGGAGGGTCCAGAACTGCTGCTGCAGTCTGGGATGTGTGGGCAGCTCAGACCTGCTTCACTGTAGCCTATCCCACTGCACACCTCTGGTGGGACTGACCCCAGTTTGGAGTCACCATGCTCATGGTACATTTGCTAAGAGTGCATGTGACATGTCCATGGGGAGCACAGCCCTGGGCCAGCAGCTGGGTGACAGCCGTGTCCCCGCAGGCGCTCGGCCAAATACAACCTGTGCAGTGACAACCATGGCATCAAACCACCCACACCAGAGCAGTACCTGACCCCACTGCAGCAGAAGGAGGTTTGCATCCGGCACCTGAAAGCCCGCCTGAAGGACACGCAGGAGCGGCTGCAGGACAGGTAGGTGTGGGGTTGTGGGGCTCCTTGCAAGCACCTGGCTCTCTCTCTTTGTAATTTTCCTCTGAAAATCTGAATTCACTGCTACAGCACGGAGCAGCTGGCGGGGCTGCAGAGCCTGGCGTGCTCACCGGGGCTGACTGTGCTCTTTCTTTCGTGGCTGGTTTTTCTCTCCCACGGTTTTTCTGAATGTCAGCATCACGCGGTGGCTGAGCTCCATCTGCTCCTCTGGGGGCTTAGGCACGTCCTCACCGCCCTGCCAGCTGCCAGCCAGCCACCATGGGCAGCCGGTGTCCCCGCACAGCCCTTAGAATCACAGTCATTGAGCTTGGAAAAGAGCTCCAAGATCCCCAAGCCCAACCCCACCGTGCCCACTGGCCGCGTCCCTCAGTGCCACATCTTCACGGATCTGGAGCACCATCCGGTGAGCCCACCATCCCCTGGGCAGCCTCTGCCACTGCATCACCGCTCTTTCGGAGGAGAAATTTCTCCTACCACCCAACCTGACCATCCCCTGCAATATGAGGCCACCACCTTCCCCCCCCCCAGGTAATCTCTGTTACCTGGGAGCAGAGGCTGAGCCCACCTTGCTCCAACCTCCTTTCAGGAGCTGTAGGGAGCAATGAGTTCTCCCTAAGCCTCCTCTTCTTCCCTGTGATCATAGAGCCATCAAACCTGAAAAAGAACTCTAAGATCATCAGATCCAACGGCCAGCCCACCATGCCTGCGTAGAGTCATTCAGATTGGAAAAGACCTCCAAGGTCATTGGGTCCAACCACCAACCCATCCCCACCATGCCCACCAAAATATGACCCTATGCGCCACATCTGCGTTTGGGAGCTGGCTGGGCATCACTGCTGGGGTTCCTGGATACCTGGACACAGCCCTACATCCCAAACATGGTTGTTTTTTTTCCTGAGTGTTTTTACCCTAAATCACTGCTCTGAACCACCGTGGGAACCGCGGGGCATCCTGCTCCTGACCCGTGGTGACGCCGTGTGTCCGCCTGCATCTCATTGCAGGGACGCCGAGATCGAGGACCTGAAGACGCAGCTGTCGCGGATGCAGGAGGACTGGATCGAGGAGGAGTGCCACCGCGTGGAGGCCCAGCTGGCGCTGAAGGAGGCCCGCAAGGAGATCAAGCAGCTGAAGCAGGTGATCGACACGGTGAAGAACAACCTGCTGGAGAAGGACAAGGGGCTGCAGAAGTATTTCGTCGACATCAACATCCAGAACAAGAAGCTGGAGACGCTGCTGCACAGCATGGAAGTGGCACAGAACGGCGCGGGGCTGAAGGAGGAGGGGGCTGCTGAGTCGGCGGGGGGATCCCCGGCGAGATCCCTCACCCGCAGCTCCACCTACACCAAGCTGAGCGACCAGGCGGGCGGCGAGCGCACCGTGGGCGGATCGCAGACCATCTCGGTGGACGAAGGGGCCGACAGCGGCTTTGCTGGGGGGGACGAAGCTCCCGGCCGCCCGGACTTGTTAGAAGGGGGGGAGCCCTGCGGGCGGCTGCCGCCCAGCTCCACCTACGAGAAGCTGCTGGGGCTGCGGGGCGGCGTAGAGGCGGGCGTGCAGGCCAGCTGCATGCAGGAGCGCGCCATCCAGACGGACTTTGCGCACTGCCAGCCCGACCTGGACACCCTCCTGGAGAAGGTGATGAAATCCCAAGCGTGCAGCTTGGGCAGCCCCACCTCGGTTTGGGTGTCCGAGATGGAAGACGTGGCGCCGGGCTGCGAGATGCCGAATCCCGCCGGCGTTATGGACCTGGAGCCCGAGGACGGGGAGGTGCCCCACAACCCCACCGTGCAGCAGCCCCCCAGCGCCGGCCCTTCGGTGGCCATCGCCTGCGCGCCCGAGGAGGATGCGACAGCGGAGCCGGGCTGCGACGGCGCTCCATCCAAGAGCTATTGGAGCCGCCACTTCATCGTGGATCTGCTGGCCGTGGTGGTGCCGGCTGTGCCCACGGTGGCGTGGTTGTGCCGCTCGCAGCGCCGCCAGGGCCAACCCATCTACAACATCAGCTCGCTGCTGCGCGGCTGCTGCACCGTGGCCCTGCACTCCATCCGCAGGATGGGCTGCCGCGCCGTCAGCAGCCCCAACCCCGGGGGCGGAGCGCAGCCCTGACCCCCCGCAGCCCCGTCCCGCCCCCCAGCCCACCCCACGGAGCCGACGGCTGATTGTAGAGCCCAGCGCTGGGGGACGTGGCGCTCCGTGTGCTCTGCTCCTCGTAAAGCCCCTTGGGGTGGGGGCAGAAGGGGCGCGGGGTGGGCGTGCTGCCCTGAGCCTTTGTCCCCAAGGATGCCGAGGGCTCGACGCGGTGATACGAAGGGTGGCCAGGCCCCGTCCCTGCAAGCAGCTCTGCGGTGCTGGGGATGTCATCCCGCGGTGTCACCGCGTGGCACTTTGCTTTCTTTTCGGTTGTCCTCGCACGGACCCGGGGACGTCGCTGCAGTGGGAGAGAGCGAGGAGGCACCGAGCACCGGGGTGGGGGCTGCGATGGGGTGCAGCCCGGCCCCCTCCCCAAGCAGACTCCTTGCTCTGGGTGCAGCATTGCACAATGGGACGTGGAAGAGGACGGAGGGAACCCCCTGGACATGGAGGGTGGAAATGGGATGGAATTGGATATACCTCACACCCGAGCAAGGCTGAGCCGCCCGCAGCGCCGTCCATTCCGTTCATTCATTTGCTTTGCACTATATTCACTTTCATTTCCTTTCGGTAAAGTTGGGGCCCTGGAACCGGGTCTGGCTGCTGTGGAGTGGGACCGGGCACCCTCTTGGTTTGGGTGCATCCTTGTCCACCCCTCCCCACCCAAACCCTATTTTCCCAGGAGGGGTTGGGGGGGGGAAACTACTGCAAAATGCCTTTTTTTGAGGGGGGGGGGGGAGGGGGAGGATATTTATTTATTTTATTGGAAAAGCAAAGACAGCAAAGATTGGTCAGCAGGGGCGGCCCCCGGGTGTACCGAGGGGTCCTGGCCCCCACCGCGAATGTCTGCAGCTTCCTCGTGACTTGAAGCAACGGTGTCCCCCCCCCTCACCACAGGACGCTGTGCCCTCCCAGCCCCCCATATCCGTGGGGTGGGGGCTGGCACTGCATGCAGTGTTTGGGGAGCAGCGGTCGGAGCGAGCAGCCCTGGGCTATAACCTCTCGTGCAATGTATTCGTGGATCCGTGTACGCGTCTGTCCGACTATCCAAAGCTTAGCCAAGAAATAAATGTAACGTTATATTTGAAAGACAAATCTATATAATATATTTTTTAAATACAGAAGTGGAAAAAAAAAGAAAAAAAAAAAAAAAAACCTGACAAAGCTGTAAACCTCTCCCCCCTCTCTTCTCTCGTTTCCGCTGTCCTGTACTGCGGTGGATGTAATAAACGTCGCTGGGTCTGTGTCTGCTTGGCTGGAGACGGCCTTTGGCGTCTGCCCTGGGGTGGATATGGAGGGCACGGGGGGGACAAGGAGAGGCACTGGGGGCAGGAGCACATCCCCCAACCCTGGTCCGTGTGCCGAGAGCTGGGGGACATGGGATGGTGTCGTGCCAGTAGCTCCCCTGGGTTCTTTTTGGGGGAGCTGAAGGGGTATCTCCAGCATTTCCTTTGAGTTCTCTCCCCTCTTCCAGGCTTGGCCATGGGGGTGCCCACATTGGCGTCTGCCCCCAGGTGTTAGAGCAGCAGGGATGGCATCAGAGGTCGGGAATGGAGTGGTCCATGGATGACTTCATCTGTCCCGGTGACAGCCTGCATATGGAGAAGGGGTCAGAGGGAGCCCCAGGGTCCCCTGGGGGCACTGTGGGGCGGGGGGTGATAGGAGATGGGGAACAGGGAGAGCACAGATCTCACCGTTTCACCATGTGCTCATAGATGACAGCAGGGATGATGGTCAGAGTGATGATATTCCCTGCGCCCGCCAGCACCTGCATCAGCTGTTTGTCCTGTGGAGGGAGGGGCAAACATTATGAAATGCCACGACAAATCCCCAGCTCACATCCAGGGCAATGTGGGAATCCCCACACCTCCCAGGGCAGCAGGAGCTCCAAGTCCACAATCTGCACCCAAAAGCCCCGTACCAACTGCAGGGGTGCCCTCACTCCAGGCAGTTGTGCCATGGGGAGAGCAGCGGGTACACAGCCGTGTCCATACCTTCATGCCGATGACGTTCTGACCATTGACCTCGCAGATGTAGTGGTGTGTCAGGAGCCCATTGCGGGCAGCAGAGCTGTCCTTGGCCAGCGACACGATTTTCCCCTTCTTCAGCACGACGCCCACATGCCCATTGCTGTCCTTGTGCATGGTGACAGTGCGCTGGAACGGTCTGTAGGGACAGCGGGGTCAGCATCAGCCTTACACACAGCAGCACTGCACGCCCATCCACCAGACATCTCTCACCTGTCCCTCACCACCATGACAATCTTCTCAGGGGATGCCTTCTTCAGAGCCCGATGCGCCTTGTCGCTGCTCCAACCTGCACAGTTCTTGCCATCGATCTGCAGGATCTGGTCACCAAAGCGCAGCCCCACCAGCGCCGCCGGAGAGTTGGCCTTCACCAGCTGCACGAAGATGCCCTGTGGACACAGCGAGGGGAGCGATGGCGCAGGGCCGCCACCGGGACCAGGTGGCAGTGCTGAGCTTTGTGCCATGCACTGCCGTGCAGTGATGCACCGTGCCCTGCCACGCCGTGCAGCGGAGCACCGCAGCCCCCCGCCAGCCCAACCCCTACCTGGTCGATGCATTTCAGCTGCAGCCCCGTCTTGCCCCGCTCGTCCTTGCAGAGGTGGATCTCTCGCACACCTGGTTTGATCTCCGCCCGCCGCAGACCCGCATTGTTCCCACTCAGTGGGGCAACCAGCTGTCCCGGCAGAGACCCGACGGGAGTCAGCGCCTGCAATGGGGCCGGGGATAAGCAGGGACATGGGGACACACATCAGCCCTCGAGGGACGCTGCGTCCCTTCCCCAGGCAGGATGCGGCTACGGGAGGGGACCCACCGCCCTGAACCTACAGTGCTGTTATCTGGGAAGAGGTTTTTCTGGATCTCTTCGCTGGAGAGCACCAGCCCCATGTAATCCTCCAGCTCGGCCAGGTTGGGGTACAGCGCGGGTGGTGCTGAGGGCACTGTGGACACAGAGAGACCCATGGGATGAGCCAAGAAACCCCCACACCTCATCCCCTACCCACACACCGAGTTGCTGGGGTCCACAGATGAACCCCCACCATGTGAGCACCTCCATACCCCAACCCCAAACAGCCCCTTGGCACCACACCCCACATTACCGATGCTAGAGGTGACCTTCGGCTTCTCCAGGAGCTTTGGCTTCTCAGTGAGCACTGTGGTGGCAGGGGTGCCAATCCCAGCAGCTGCCTGTGCCTGGGGGAGATGGGGTTTGCTCGAGGCACAGCCCCTATTCTGGGCTCACCATGAGCACCCAATGGGTGCTGATCATCCCCATAGTGCAGATGAACAGACACTGACCTGCAGGACCTGGTGGCCCTTCATGTCCTCCAGTGAGGGGTAGAGCGTTGCCATCGCTGGTGCTGAGCCTGGGGATGGGATGGGGATGGGATGAGGACAGGGTCGGGGCTTTTTAGGGCTGGGTGCAGTGCCACAAACACCCCTCAGGGACCCACAGGGCTGGGCTCGCTCTACTTCTATCTCTGTGTCCCAGCCATCACCTGCAGCCTGGGGCATGACTCAGGACTGCATCATCGGGGCCACTGCCTCTGTCACATCCCAGCAGCTGGGGCACGTGAGGGGCACGAGCATGAGCATGAGCATCCCAGCAAGCACCCTGCTCCAGGTGTGATGTGCTGGCTACACCAGGCAGCCCACGGAGGCTCTTTTAGTTTCCCCAAACTCAGCCGGGTGATGCCCCCATGGGCGACACCCCCGTGGACAAAAGCCCTCCATCACTACTTCTTGCTGTTCTCAGCCCCCCACCAGCTCCCTCCACCCCATGCCCTGCACACCTCTGTGCCCCAAAAAACATCACCCAAACATCAGCGCCCGTCTCCAACCTCTGCTCCAAGCACCACTGGAGCCAGGCAGGATCTTGCCTGGTAGCAGCATCCTGAGGTGGGGGGGGGGGGGATGATCCCACAAACCCAGTCTCACCCCCCAGCCCAACTCCCTCCAGACTCACCTGCAGATTTCTGGCTCCTATGCGCTGCCCTTCACCTGTTCCGTGCTTTTATAGCAGTGCCCATCCCCGGGGAGGAGCCCAGTGGCCTCAGCTGACAGCCACCTCCCTGTGCCAGGTGGGGCATGGGGGAGGAAGGTGAAGGCAAGGCAGCTGGGCCGGCCCCAGAGAGGAGCAGACAGCAGCAGGGATGGGGACATGGATGGGGTCACTGATAGAGACAGGGACATGGATAGGGACACACATGGAGATGGGGACTGCTTTCCATGGCTCCAAGCATCCTAGGAGCCACAGAGATGGGGTCGTGCATTTCAAGGGTGGCCTCCACCCTTCCCACCCACACAATCCCCAGGTGCCACCATCACACCGCTCAGTGTCACCATAACCCCCAACCAGAAGCCACCACAGCCCTTTGCCCAGCACAGGCTGGGTGCAGCGGGTGCCCTCAGCCCCGTGTTTGGTGTCTGTCCCCTGTGACACCTCTCTGTGTGGGGCTGACGTTGCCACATCCCGCATCCATTCGTGATGGCCCCGTGGGAAAACTGAGTCAGGGCTGCGGGCGGAGGGTGTCAAGCCAGCACTGAGCCACGCATCCCAACCTGCGTGATGCCATCGGACCCCGTGTCCCCACACACGCAGGGCCTGTGGGTGCCCGTGGCACAGAGCCAGCCCTGATGCAGGGCATGGCTCAGCTTTGTGTGCCAGCAGGAAGCAATCTATTTTACCAGCATTATTTTTAGCCTGCGGTGCCCGGAATGCAATGGGAGCAGCAGACATGTGATAAGCACAGCTGAGAGTGAGCACCAGGTCTGCCCTAGAAGGATGGCACCCGTGCCAGCAGGGCTGTGTTAGCCTCGTGGAAATAGAGTTGGGAGGGCTCAGGTGCAGAGAACACAGAGAGCACTGGGACTTTGCTGCCCACTGCAGACACAGGGCCTACAGCCGTGCACACACACACTGCACACACACACTGCACGCCCATGCAGCCATGAGCACACTTGCAGACCCTGCTCAGGCACACGGGTGTGCACACAAATGCCACCATTCAAAGAAGCTGCTGCAGAGCCCTGCAGACAGACAGACGGGAAAGGGACACTGGGTCGTCTGCCCCCCAGGGCAGGAGGTGCAGCTCCAGGTCCCCCCGGTCTTTCTGCTTTCCAGTCTTTATCTCCAGCCACAAAGCCATGGCACAGCCTGACACTGGTTAATAATTAAAGCAGAAGGCATTGCAGGAAGAGAAACCCAAGCTGAAGGGGAAATTCTGCCTAGGCGCAGTCGCTGCAAAGGGCAGGGCAGCTCCCTGCCTTCCTCCTCATGTTGCCAAGCTGAGGGTCCTGGAGCATTGACCTGAGCCTGGAGGCCCGCAGCACTACCCCCAGCCCAGGGATCACCTCACTGCAGCTCCTTCCAGCCCAAAGCACCAGAGCAGCACACATACAACGTTCCCAAACCAGGTGCTGCTAGTCCCAGCCTCAGGAGCACAGGGTAGGGAGCTCAGCCCACAGCACTGCTCACTCTCAAAGGCCTCATAACACTTCTCTCTAAACACAAACTTTGAACCCGCTGCGGCACGGGGATTTACTGCAGACATGTTATTGATTGCAGCCAATGATGCAAAGGCTGTTTGCAAACAAGCCAGGTGTTGGCACAGGGATCTGAGCAGCACGGCTAGGGACCTTGAGCCTTTAATGCTACTGTACAACCCACACCCTACAGCTGGGTGCTAAACCGGGCTCCCCAACACAGCCAGCAAGAGCAGCACCCACATTGCCAGCCACACACATCCCCTCAGCACCCGGCCTGCAAACGTCAGCAGGAAAGACCAGAAGTCACAGCTGTGAGCTCTGACATCCAGGTGAGAAACCACAGCGCAGCCACGGCCAGCCCTGGGGAGGAAAGGCTGCAAAGGAGCAAAGGCACTGCTGAACAGAGGCATCAGCACCAGATCACTAAGGCACCAAAAATAAATGGATGTAGGACAGTTTTAGGGTCCCATGAGACCCAATCAGTGCATACAGCCTGCTGGACGTGCACTTTCCAACCTCCAAAAGAGGATAAAACAAATCGAGATACAGCCCCCCTGGAGCAGGAGGGACCCAGCAGGCTGAGCCACGGGGAGGCCGAGGGCAGCGCTTAATGGGTTTGTGGTAAGGCAATTAGAGCAGGTCGGGCAGGTCGCTGCCCCACATCCCTACGTGCCCGACGGTGCTGCCAGCCCTCCCCACCCAGGGAAGAACCTCCAACACACAGGGCTGAGAAAAGCCAGCAAAAAGCGTTTTTATTGCAATCATAAAACTTGATACCTTTATGCAGTGGAGAAGGAAGTGAATTTCTCTTACCACATCACAAGGCAGGGCTGGGGGCAGCGGCGGGGGAAGCGATGCATGGCGTGAGAGCAGCCAAGCGGCGATGACCAGCATCAGGGGCAGGAGAACGGGCAGCTGTGCTCAGCCCGGGGGCAGCCAGGGTCTGAAGCTTCCTTCCCAGGGTAGGCAGAAGGGATGGGGGTGTTTTCTTGCAAGCTCACCCCCCCAGCTCCACCACCTCCCAATTTGTCTGCTGCTGTTTTCTTGTTTTAAAGCAAAGAAAGCTCAACGTAAGAGACAGAATTTCCAGGGGCTGGGTGAGGCTCTGACGGCCCAACCACCCCCACAAAACCAAAAGTGAGACAACAAAGGGAGGAGGTGGGGGAGGACAGGGGCTGAGCATCCCCCCATCCCAGCGCGGCCCTGTGATGCTGCGCTTCCCCCAGAGCGCAGGGAGAGGAACGCTGCTTCCCCAGCACCCCAATTCCAGGTAACTACACACATCCTAACACTACTTTGTTCTCCACATCCATTCAGCCTCAACAGCCTCACTCTGCTATGGCTTTTGCAGCAGCAGCAATTTCTGGTTTTAAAACATCATAGAGATCCGAAACAAGTAACTAACTAGCAGGTTTCCTTTTGTTCAAACGACTCCTATCTAAGGTCAGCCCGTCTGCGTGCTACTGACAGAATGCAGTCTACACCTGGAACAAAAATAAGATTAAGAACTTGACCCAAAAAGAGTTGAGGTTTACGGCGTATAGTTTAAAAAGACATAAAAACACGATACAAGGAGGAAGAGTCAGACGCAAAGCTTAGTGACCAAAGGCATTCAATCAAGGTGTAAGGTTATACAATGAGTGTAGTGGACTATCAGGAAAAGCTCCGTACAAAGTCATGTGCACTCGTCTTGAAGCTGAGATTCTGGATTCCTCCATGTGCCAAACCTGTTTGGGGAGAGGAGAGGCACGGTGACACAGCCACCCACTGCAGCCCACCGGTGCAGGAAGGAATGTGGTCACAAAGGGACAGTCCCCATTGCCAACTGCACGGTCTGCTCAAAGCACAAGTCAAATTGTGCTGATGTGGGGAGCGGGACACCATCCTGCCCACTGCAGAACCCATACAGTACGAGCAGTGGGGAGGACTGAAGCACATCCAGTCAGCATCGAGCTGTCTCTGTGGCATGAGCACGCTGCAAGCTCTGCTTCTATCCCACAGCGATTCCCAAATCCGCAAGCCTCCAAATCCAGCCCACAGCCAGAAACCCGTTCTCCACGCCACTAACACCTCCATCCCGTCTCCCCGAGGCAGACTACGGGAACTTGAGCCTCCCCCACGCTCCAACGGCAGCCGCCCTGCAGCTCGCCCTCCTTACCCGAGGACAGGGTGTTGGGGTGGGTCATTCCAATTTCATGAGCTCCACGTCGAAGATTAGAGTGGCATTTGGTGGGATGATCCCTGGGTGGCCAGTGGAGCCATAGGCGTAATCTGGGGAGATGGTCATCTTCGCCCTCTGACCAACGCTCATCTGGGAGGAGGAATGAAGATGAGGATGTCAGATGCACACAAACAGCGGGTGAGTGACAGCGGGAGAAACACGGAGCTGTTTCCCCAATGCTGGGCACAAGCAGAGGGGACCGACGAGAGATAGGAAGGACATCAGCAGGGAAAGGCAGGCAGCAGAGGCTGGAAAAGGAGCAGGGATGCAGCAGAGGGAGCAGAGCTGGCGATATCCTTCACCTTCACAACCAATTCCTAGGTCTGCCAGGCTGCCCCCTGCAGACAGCAGCATCCCCGTGCTGCAGCGTGGGCGCCGGCTCCCAGCAGCACAGAGCCCACTGCAGTCACGCACCCTCCCCAGCCCCCTCCCCTCGTGCCCACAGCCATCTCCAGCAGGAGCAGGGGGCCCGAGCCCCCCACGGCGCTCGCTCAGAGGTGACTCAGTAGAGAAATGTCAGTGCTGAGTCACCGGCGTGCCGTAGGTGTTCCTCGGCCCGGCCCTGCTCCGTTCCTGCCATCTGGCAGGTGGCAATGCAGAAGGTGATATTCACACCCACGCCTCCCATGATGGAGGGGGTGGAAAACTGAAGGGCTGCACGCAGCGATTTCTGCCCACACCGCAGATCCCCACCAACGAGGGGGATGCCGGGCACCTGAGCAACTCCTTCCTCCCAGCCGCGGATCACCTCCTGCTTGCCCATCACGAACTTGAAGGGTTTGTTCCTGTCGCGGGAGGAATCAAACTTCTTCCCATCCTCCAGCATACCTGGGGACAGAAAGGGGAGGGAGGAGTGAGGCTCGTGTCACGGGAACAGGTTGTTACCCAGCAGGTGTGACGGTCACCGTGAGAAGCTCACATGGCCCTGAGTCAGTGGGATTTCCCAGCTGCCCTGGGAGAACACCTGTACAGCGGGGGGCTTCCCCACCAGCACCTCCTGCTGCAAAGAGCAGGGCAGGAGCAGCCCTCGAGTGGGCAGCATTGCTCCTCCCAGCTGCAAGAATCACCACGTCCCTACTCTGTGCTGTTTTCATGCAGAGAGAAGCCCTCCTGTGGGCAGCCAGCAGCCAGGGGACGCCTCGCCTGTCCCAGAGCACCGGCGTTCTGCACAGCAGCATGTGAGCCAGAGCTGGTTTCTGTCCTTGAGCACACAGAACGCAGCCTAGGCCACCAGCCTGCCCATGCCCAGCCATGAGCCAGTGC